GCCAGGTAGTACAGATTTATTGAAGCCTCTTTAACAGCACACACGGAAGAAGGGCAAACCCAGAATTCCTGAAATGCCTTTTCTGCTTCAACTGAGATAATCATGTGGTTTTGTACTTCACTGTTAATGTGGTCTATTACAATAACTGATTTTCCTGTGTTGAATCATGCTTGCATTCCAGGAATAAATCCCACTTGGTCTGGTATATAATCCTTTTGATATGATGCTTAATTCAGTTTTCTAGTATTTTGTTGAGGGACTTTGCATTTATATTTATAAGTGATATTTCTCTGCAGTTTTCTTATACTGTCTTTGTCTGGCTTTGGTATCAGGGTAATACTGGCCTCTTAGAATGAGTTAAGAAGTGTTTCTTCTCCTTCAATTTTTCGGAAGACTTAGAGAAGCATTAGTGTTAGCTCTTATTTACATGCTTGGTAGTATTCACCTGGATGTGAATGTGAAGCAACCTGACCCTGGGCTTTTCCTTGTTTGGGAGGGTTTGATTACTGATTCAGTCTTCTTATTCATTACAAGTCTATTCCAATTTTCTGTTTCTTCTGAGTCAGTTTTGGTAGTTTGTTTCTAGGAATGTGTTCGTTTTTTCTGAGTTATCTAATTTGTCAGCATACAATTGATCATAGTATTCTCTTTTAATCCTTTTTATTTCTGCAATTAGTAGTAACCTCACATTTCTTAACTACTAATTGAGTCTTCCCTCTTTTCCTCATTCAATCTAGCTAAAAATTTGTCAGTTTTACCTTTTCAAGGAACCAAGTTTTGGTTTCATATATTTTTCTATTTTTTTCTATTGTTTTTCTATTCTCTATTTCATTTATTTCCACTCGATTCTTTATTACTTCCTTCCTTCTACTAGTTTTGAATATAGTTGGCTATTCTTTTTATAGTTTATCAAAGTATACAGATAGGTTATTTATTTGAGACATTTCTTCTGTTTTAATGTATGCATTTATAGTTATAAATTTCCTTCTTAGCATTGTTTTTGCTGCAGGGATTTTGGTATGTTGTGTTTGACTTTCATTCATCTCAAGGCAATTTCTAATTTCTTATTGGTTATTTAAGAGTGTGTTGCTTTATTTCCACATATTTGTGAATTTTCCAGTGTTTCCACTGCTGTAGATTTCCCATCTCATTTCATTGTGAAGGAAAAGATACTTTACATGACTTTAATCTTTTTCAGTTTACTCAGAGTTGTTTTGTGGCCCACAGACGGTCTATTCTAGAGAATGTTCTATATGCATCTGGAAAGAATGTATTTTCTGCGGTTGTTGGGTGGCATGTTCTGTGTAAGTTTATTAGGTCCAATTGGTTTATAGTGTTGGTCAAGTCTTCTATTTCCCTATTGATTGTTCATCTAGTCCTGTCTGCTACTGAAAGTGGGGTACTGGAGTCTCCAGTTATTATTGTAGAACTATTTCTCCATTCAATTCTGTCCATTATTGGTTCATATAGGGTTCTGCTGTTGTGTGCATATGTTTATAATTATCTATATTGAAATTCTTATCAATATATAATGTCCTTCTTTGTCTCTTGTAAATTTTTTTATTTGAAATCTATTTTGTTGGAAAATAATCCAGCCACTCCAGCTCTCTTCTTGTTGCTATTTGCATGCCTTTTCCCATCATTTTACTACCTTTTTATGTCCTTTTACCAAGTCTATCATAGACAACAAGTAGATAGATCTGTTTTTTTCTATCCATTTGCTAATCTGTGTCCTTTAATAAGCATTTAACTCATTTACATTTAATGTGATTACTGATCAGGAAGAATTTACTAATGCCATTTAGCTATTTGGTTTCATGTCTTAACAAATTTGTTATTTTTTCATAATAACTTTGGGGTTTACAATTAACATTTTAAACTTATAACAACCTAGTCTGAATAGTATCAATTTAGTTTTAATAGCATGCAAATACTCTGCTCATATATATCTCCATCCCTCCCCTTTTATGTTGTTATTGTCTTAGATTACATCTTTGTACACTGTATGCCCATTAACATAGATTTACAATGATTGTTTTATGTACATGCCTTCTAAATCATATTAGAAAATGAGGTAAGTTACAAACCAAACCAAAATGACAATAACATTGGCTTTTATATTCACCCATGTAGTCACCTTTACCACCATTATTTAATTTTTTTTCTTTTGGCTTTGAATTTCTATCTAGTATTCTTTCATTTCAGTCTGAAGTACTCTAGTATTTCTACAGGGCAAATCTCTTAGGTTACATTTATCTGGAAATGTCTTCATTTCTCCTCCCTGATCAAAGAATAGTTTTGTCAGATATAGAATTCTTGGTTGACAGTACTTTTCATTCAAGACTTAAAATACGTCATTTCACTGCTTGTGGACTCCATGATTTTTGTGTTGCAATCAGCCATTAATCTTATTGATGATCCCTTGTACATAGCGAGTCTCTTCTCTTTGGATGTTTACAAGATTCTCTGTCTTCTGGTTTCAACAATTTGACTATAATGTCTTTAGTGTGGATCTCTTCTATTTATCCTGCCTGGAGTTTGTAGAGCTTCTTGGATGTGTATAATCATCAGATTTGGGATGTTTTGGAGCATGATTCCCTCAAATATTTTCTCCATCCTTTTCCTTCTTCTCCTTCTGGGACTTTTAAACTGTGTATGTTGCTACTCTTGATGGTGTCTCACAGTCCCTCGTGCTCTGTTTATTTTTTTCAGTTTTTCTTTTCTCTTCCTCAGATTGGATACTTTCAATTGTCCGAAGTCAAAGTTAAGGATCCTT